GGCACATTTTATACATATTTGATATTTCAATATATCTGATCAAGTTACAAGTCAATCTCTACTTACGACGACGACACTGATGCATTATTCTTCATATAATCCTCACTAAATTATCTTATTATTGTCATACTATTTTCTCAATATACTATGTAACTTGATGAATAAACAAGTTGGAATTATGTATAATAGGGCCTACTTTTTTCGATTAGGAGCATTCATTCTATGTATAACAGTTCACACTAGCACATCAGTAGCCTAGATCAATGTCATCGATCTCTCACGGTTCCATAAGTGCACAATTCGTTACTCTGCTATCTTGCTGACTTAATTTGATTTAACACGACCTCGGACAAGGATCTATTTCCCATTACGCTTCCTTCGCTTCGCGTTAACCTCGAGAACGTAACAGGAATTACATGATATCAACAAATTCCACTATTTTTTTTCTGTTACACATTCTTTTCTCAGTTATAATTATCTTGAATAATAAAAATATTTTACTCGTTACACCAAATATGTTATAGTAACAACCATAAATACTCAACGATTTTGAACACTTAGTCTAAATTAGGGACTCAATTTATTATACATGACTCTAAAAGGGCTTCATCTACATTTACGATCTTTTCGTCCTCCACTGGAAACGCGCCTCCAAAGTTTTCTCATATATCTTAGGAACTGTTCCCTGTATAATTCAGTTGTCCCAACATAGATTAGGCGAAGTACATCGAATCCCGCGGGATCAAAGACGGAAGCTACCAAGTTCTCAATGCATCCTTGCAGCCACGACAAACAAAATATTCCTCTCCGCAACAAAGTTCCCTTAATTACGTGATTAATCATGGAACGGTATACCCGGGATCCATTACGTAATTTTCGGGTAATACAAACGCAAATTGAAATATTAACATTTGATAAACTATCCTCAGTGAATTTGCACAACAAACCAACGTATTAAGCTGAAACTACTCTTATCAGGATATATTATGGAATGAAAATAATTGTTAAGAAGTTCAATGAAGTTTTCATTCTATTTTCATGTCTATTGATTGGAATGATTATTAGGTCTATTGACTATTTAGCATTTGAAAATGAAATCTGAAGCGATAGAATCTTAAAATTATGTAGAACACTTACTTAGTCTGGAAGCCCTCGAATTCCTCCTGCTGCTCGCTGATGGAAGCCTCAAGGTCCAAATAAGCGCCATAATCGCCGTCTTTGTACAGCTGCAGCGCAGTGTCATCAAGCTGTAACATAAACAGAAAGTAGGCTAGGTTAATACGTATCAGTTACTCATAAATGCGGAGTGATACATAATTCTAAATGGAATCATAGAAAGCGAAGCAGTTAAAGTTGGTAAAATAATAACTCTCATAAACACACCGGCAATACCCATAAAACATTTTTCACTTTCGTACTACATTTATTTGAATTCTGATAACTATTCCAAGTGCTGTCCGTTTGATGGGCTAATGACATTTCAGCTTCCTGATTCCCTAACAGTTTCTCAAGATTAAAGACCGTATTTCGCACGTGTCGTATAATTTTTCGCATCAGCAGATAATGTTCATTTTATATCTTTATGAAGTACCTATGAAACGGTTCAGCACGCCTAGGTGAAAAACTGATAAGTAAGGGGCGAAGGATTTATAACGTTACGATATGACGGTAGTCTAACGGGAATTTATCGGGGATGTAGAGAATAGAAATGTATACAGACTATAGACTAGTTGGAAATTTCACAGAAATTTGTTGGTAGACACGAGCGTCGGCACGTATAGTTTGGTTTCGTGCAGAAAGAGGAGTGAGAGAGAAAGAAACAGAAGTTTTAGTTGCTACTGCTATACTGTTTACCCTTGTTACCTGATCGCAAAATGGAAACCCCTTGATTGCTCTGTTAATTAAACTAATTGTCAGTTGAAATGCGACTCCGGTTGATGGAACAAATTATCGTGGAAGTAGTCAAATTATCAGTTTTCGTACTTCGATTATTATAAATATGTAGAGTGATGCTACATGCAAAAATATGTAGAGAAAAGAATAAAATTTTTTACATACGAAAGTCACCTCTTTGCAACTTTCGCCCAACTTAATCATCAAATTTATAATCTATGTATAAAACAATAATGTTAATTATTTTTATTTATATTTTCTTCTGAGATTACTAAATCAAAGCTAATTGAGCTGTGACGTGGAACGAATCTCAATTAATGCAGAGGAAGACGTAAAAGAGTAGTGGCGAGCAGAAATGGAATCATACCTATTTTCGCAACATCGCTTTGTCCCCGATCCCATAATTATCGAGCGAGATATACTACGACTTTAGTGGACCGTAAGCTGGGAAGCTCGTCACAAGACAGAGATCTACTCTTTCTTCATAGACCAGTTTCTCGGCGGGTTCCGTGGAATGAGTTCAACGTACGAATGGGTGCCTCGCGGGTCGACAATCCGGGTTAATGCGGCTAATCCGCTAAATTTATCCTAGGATCATTCGGTCCACGCATGCACCGTCCATGCGACACGATAATCTCTTCATCTGGCATCAGGTGGTCCTGATCGGCTGGATACGCTAACATTAAGTCACAGGTTTGCGTCATTCGCAGTCGCAAAAATAGAAACGCCGCCGGGCCGAGTTCCGAGGTTAATTGAATTACATTAAAAATACGAACACCGAGAATGATGGTCGTGGAAGTAACTTCATCAAGCTGTTCTTGCGGTACAGTTTCTTGCGCCACGATTCTATGTTCCTTAGATTTTTGCAAAGCGAATTAACTCCTGGTTCACGGCGAAAATGTTTCAGCGTAACGTATTGTTTCCGCGCGTTTAACTCGCGTCGCCGACTACCAAATCGTCCAACGATAAATCCCGGAAGGTAAATAACCCTGACAGAAATGAAGCCCTTCTTCCCTGGGTTAGTCCCTTTCTTCCAGACGACGCCGCTTCGCGAGATTAAGATCCGGCTGTTTCCACGGCACGTTGCCAGCCTAGAAGAAATAGCGCTACGGGGATGAGAACCGAAAGATATTACGGAGAACGCGAGAGAACGGGAGCAGATGGTTCCTTCGAAAAGGAGAAACAAAAAGAAGTAGAGAGAGGAATAGAAAGAGATGTGCGGCAGAAAGTAATTGAGGATAAACCGAGAACGAGGAGACAAGACGGAAAAATAGTAGCGAAAGCCAGTTAAACTGCCGCAAGGGAAAGCTAAACGTCGTTTTAAAAATAGTCTACGGCTATACCTAGGCTGCCATATTTGTGATTACGTCCAGAGTGTCGTCGCCGCCGCTAGGAAAGTTATTTTCCGCTTCCGCGCGGACTGCGAGCCGTCCTCATTTTCGCTTCATCGAATGATTAATCAAGTGGCACTAATCAATATTTATTGGTGCTTCGTTTACTCCGAGAAATGAGATTATCGAGACATCAAATTTTCTTTCGCATATTTACTGCGTGGTAAGTCCCACGCTTTCGATTTAACAAGGAAAGTAAGAAACCGAATCATTTTCGTGTTTTTCTTCTGTAATTGATACCCACACGAAATTAAACAATATTAAGAAGACCCAATTTCTTGTTATGATATTAGATTACTGAAATGGACGCTTTCCGGTTGTGTTTAATTTTATCTTTTAATGCGCAGAACGTAACAGGCTTGATTTTTATAGCAAGCAGATGCTGTGTATTTATGGAGGACACATAAAATCCAGTTTTACAATCCTTGTTTATAACAATTAATTCTAGCCATAACAATAATTCAGTACGTTCTCGTTCTCACTTATTTTTCGCAAACAGAACAGAAAACTGTTCTTTAAATGTCGTGCATCATCAACACCTGACCAATAGAATGAAATGAGGAAAAATTAAAGTAAAATAATAATAGTGCGTGTCTTTGGGATGTAACAGCGAGGTCTCATAGCGTCTGGGGAAAGGAATCACGCGGTTGACCCATATTTCTAAAAATCCCAGCTTCAAAATAGACTGCGCTGCCGGCCGAGCATGAGCTATATTGCAGCAAGCTCAGCTTTCGGTCGAGCACGCGCTGCATTTCTCCGGTTTCTAGGCGTCCCGCATTCGCTCGAAAGTGAATCGGCCCTTACGTAATCCACGCGTACGATCTCTGGCCTTCAATCTCCTCTGGCGGAATTGGTTAACCAGAAGTGAAACAACGGAGCACACTATGCGCCATTACCAGAAACGTTCAATGCTACGTACGGAACAATGGCCCTCCGTTCGTTACTGGGTAAAACGTTCTGAATACTGCATACAGTGATACCTGTTTGAATTATTAGGTGCAACAAATACAGCGTTTGTATGGATATAATATAAGTAGTGAAATAAAAATTTATCAGTAAATATACAGTAAGAATGTGGAAAGGCATGTATGTATCATGTACATAAATTTAAAGATAGATATCAATCTAAGCTTAATGAACTGAACATAATGCAAAATTAATTATACCCTCTAAAAGCACATACCAAACTTTGCTACCAAAAGAAGACGCTCAACTATAATTCTGAGGCTGAATAAACTTTCAAATGGATGATCATATTTTTTTATAAAAATACATCGACTAGATTCTGAAAATAGTAAGATTGATAGGGAACAGCCAAGTGAAAACAGTCCCCGCGCAAGTCCGATCGCGAATCTAATTAATTATAACATTAATCCAGTTTTACCACGCTCTGATAGTTCCCCCTTCCGATCCACGCTTTATGGGAAAGTTGTTTAATTAACCACTTAAAGTCTCACGGGTCTCATATGTCTTCCTTGCGGACAGTTCAATGTTGGCGCACGTCCCTGTGGCATGGACGCTCACGAAACTTTTTCGTAAAACATACGTGGTTGTCAACGCGTATCAAGTAGTACTAGTCTCCTTAACGAACAGACACGCAACGTCTGTTTTCTACGAAAAGATTAACTATGTCTGAAAATATCTTGTACATTTGACCTGTAGAGAAAATGGGGAAAAACCGAGTACCATTTTTTAAAGTATGCGATACAAATAACCTGATAAAGAAAAATAATATATTTAACATACATTGGTTTTCTTTAAATGTAGACTCATATAAGAAGGTTCGAGAAATATGTGAAGAAAGTCTTATCGCTTCGTTTGATAGGCAGGTATGACAATAGCATTCGGTAAGTAAGAATACAATTTTTACATAGATAGCAATTCTAGCAGATAAGAAATGGAGATAGTCGATCTTATCTAAATGCCCGATTTTCTTCCAAACCAAAACTTGTACATTTTAGTTTCTAAATCTCATAACTGATTGCACGCTGTTTAGGATATTATTAAGTTTGAATTTTATATTTTGTTTATTGAATGAAGAAGCCTTAGAAAACATGGGAGTGACATGGGGAAGATTACTCGAAGATGACTCGTTACAAGAAGATATAAATAGACTGTTACAGGATACATAGACCCATGCCATCCCGTATTAATTAAGTAGCACGTCGATATCGATGGGGAAAGTTGTAAGACTTCCTCTAATACTGTAATGTATGTAGTACACACGATGACACAACTGCACTATCTTAATTACGACTTAATGCGATAAACCGCCGTGGAATGTGAGTTACATAGGACTAGAGACCGATTACCAAGTTCTGGAATTCCAGAGATTAGAGCCGAGATTTCTACGGCACAAATCGAGAATTAAATTACTAGCGATCTGATAAAATGTCAAGTGCGATAATTAATGAATCAAACTATTCAACTTATTTTCCTTATCGAAAGACGAGGAATTTCTCCTAAACGTTTTCGTCGAATCAATAGTCATTTCTTATTTATGAGTATTTTATTTTCTATTAATGTTGTTTTAATTTCTATTAATTTTAGTTTGTTCTGTGAATGAAAATAATGAATAGTTGAATAAAATTAATATGTAGAGAGTTACGTAAAATTGTTAGTGCGTAAAAAATTATTTTTTATATGCCAATTGCTATGCTAAAATTTATATTATGCCAATTGCTAAGCAAGTGTCTAACAATAGCACCCTAGAATATTGATTCGGCATTGTCCCAGGACGATTTGTCATTGGCAAATTAATCAGACATTGTCAACAGTTAGATCGAGATGTGATTCAATTATGGCGATTGTAACATTTGGCAAGATTACATCGTTCGGAAGGGAAATGTTTTACCGAAATTTCGATTAAATTAACAACGAATCTTATCAGTGCTCATTAAACAAAAACATTCATACATTTTGATAAATAGAATGACACATTGACAAGAAAATTTTTATGTAATGTTGTTTACGTATCTCACTGTTTATTCTGCACATATGTACACATTCTTATATTATTATTAATTATTTTATTGTTTTGGTGTACGTAATATCTGTATTGAATATTGAACGATATTAATTACGCAGCGCATGAATATGTTGAGAACGTGTCAACGTTAATTGATAATCGTCACCACGCGGAAAACAGACAGGAACTAATTTGAATTTGAAACGATCGCCATAAGCACGAGATTCTTAGAACGGCTTGCGAGAATGGAAGCCCAGTTAGCCTAGCGCAGTTCAATAGTGACGTGGGCGGCACGTGGGCACGCGTATACGTTCCTCTTCAATTACGTATGAGCAACGGTATAAACTATAAAGGAAGAGATGTTGCCGTTGACACAAGAAGCCGAAGGAGAAAGTGATCGACCATTCAACTCAACCAATTCTCAAAATGTAAAATAAAAACGTGAAACGTAGACATCAAAAGAGACAAAACCATATTGGTTCGTATAAAAGTGTTATCATTTCATTTTCTTAATCTAAAATTAAAATACGATGAACGAAACTGTCAACATTTGTGATAATTAAAGTCAAGTCATTTAGTCTACTGATATACAAACTCAATGAAATTCTCCTCTTTACGCCTTGAAAAAGTGAATAATTTTTCCTCTAAATCCACTCAAATGCATCCGATACAGTAGCACTCTTTACAGATAATACGTTCAATTAACCAGCGCTCTTAAGTATATTTCTCAGTACCAAATACCCGCGATCTGAAAACTGTTTTTCTTAAATTCCTGTAACAAATCCACGTGAAGGTAGAGAAGAGAAAAGCAAAGAGTAAAACGAACGCGAGGGCGAAGAAGGGAGAAAGAAAAAAGTGTGCACGGAGGAACTCGCTTAATCGTGCGATAAATTAGTTCAGTTGGAACTAGTGTGGAAGGGGTTGTGGGAAACGGATGGCGCATTCGTACCAAGGGTAGATCCCATTGGGCGAAACGAGAAGGGTGAGTGGTCCAAACAGAGACGCGGAAGGATTCAGGCTGGTAGTAGGTATGTAATAGTTTCGCGCTAACTTAAACTCCGCGCGATCACCGCCGCCGGACGGCGCGGCGCGGTGACCGTGTAAATTCGCGTAGAAGCTGTCGCGGGTTATCGTGTGTGCGCGAGATAATGAAAACTACAGGAAACAGCCAGCGGCGGGTTCTGTTTCCGCGACATATGAACGCGTTCCACAGCCACGCTGGATACTTTACGTCTACGTTGTTACCTAGAGAGTTGTTAATGCTCCCCATCTCCCCTTCACTTTTTTTCTCTTCCCATCTCTGTCATATTTTTTTCTACTTCATATTTCTTCCTTTCTTTCTTTCTATTTCTTGCTTTCTCTTATCATCGATCGGATGAATTTTGCAAACAATTTTCAAAATTTACATGTACACAAATTTTCATTACATTCGGTTTTCGCGAAACAATTTTAGTCACGTTATTTATCAGGCACACATGTCTCCAACGTTTTCTAAATTCGCTTGATAGTTGGATACAGACTAGACGGACAAATACATTAAATAAATATATAATGAGTTAAATTAATAATACACGGTGTATGAAAAAAGTTATAGATTTTTGATCAATTTACTTTTAATCTGATATCTGTATATTTAACTGTTCATTGCCATAATTAATGTGTACGTAATTTGATTCCATTCAAAACGAATAACTGATAATTATTCCAAGCGTGGTGCAAGACGAGATGTAATTTCGCAGGGAAATTATAATAAGTAAACATAATCGTAATAAATCTCGATAATCGCGAATGCGTAATATGCGAATGCACGTCGTGAATTACTTAGCTGTTAAATACTCGATTTCTGTTCGTTGTCAAATTAGCCCGAAAGCAACCACGAAACCGCGTATGTAAATTGCGCGTCCGTTCGTCCGGGCAAGTGCATTTTTAAGCGTGTTTATTTTCGATTATGTCGACTGGTAACCCGGGCGCGGAAAACCGCGCGTAAAATATTCAATGGAGTAGTGACGGTTGTTCGACCAAGCACGGAATCGGGCTCGAATTAAAATTTCCCGTTCGCTCGTACGGTGAAGTGGTGCGCGTTCTTTTCGCGGAATTTGAATATGAAAACGGAACGAAAGTTTGTTTTCGGACATCCGCGGATGGCAAATTCTGCTGAGTTGGGAACACCGGGTGGCTGGATTTTAGATAGAGCGATCCCGGAGATAGGAAGTTACGTATTCGCGAAACTTATTCGTCGAAGTGCTCGAAAAGCGATTTCAAAAGCGTGCGATTAAGTTTGATGACAAAAATTTATCGGTTGAAACCAACGGCGACAGGATTTATCTGGTAATGAATTTTCCCGTTAACTACTGGCATTCGTCAAATTGTCTTGCGTTGCTTTTGATAATATCTGATGAAAAAAATCTCACGACGTTATTTAAAATATTTCGTTCTTCAAGGCAATAAACTGACATAAGCATATAACAAAATCTGTACAGAAGCAGATTCGTTACATTAGCAAATTTAGATATAGGCAGACATAGAATATTTATAAATTTATCATACTTTTCATTATTATATTTTCGATTACACCCAGACAATAAGCGAAATTTTTTGTTTCGGGATACAGCAAATCTCTCCCTTTGTTCCAGCACCTGGAGGAAGGAGGAAAGTGCGACTGCTATTCGAGAGGCAGCACCGGCTTGCATAAACACAAGTTGATTTTTGCGCAAGCGAACGAACGAGCGACCAATCGACGGAGAATGCCGCGCTCGCTTTTGATTCAATAGAACCTGTTTACTGCATGAATGATTGAACGGTGCCGAAGAACTCGATTCGAGCATCGCCGATTACACTAACATCTCCCGCCGATCGAGCTGTTTTTTGGATGAGGATAAAATTAGACATCGGTCGTTACGTGTGTTGGCTTTAAAGTGACTCGATCGTCACAAATCGTATACATAAAACATGGAAATTGAATATCAAGAAAATCAAATGTGGCTCCGTTTTAGTATTTAGAACAAGAGTATGATATGTTAATCGAAAACTTTTTCTTAAGGATTGCAATAATTGTTCCACAATTGCGAAAACTTATAGTTTTTGAAATAAGAAACGTCCTAATACTAAAGTGGTATCATTAAAATGGTAAAATCAGATTTTTTAATAAAAAGATAACTCGAGTTGAGAATGGAAGAAAAAGACAGAAAAATTCAGATGCTTAAAATATTTGCGAATTTATCGTCACCGATTAATAGAGAGCAACGTGAGCAGAGAATGAATCACGTTCATTATCAGAATAATTAAATGTGCCAATTTAAGTGCCACGACAGAAATCTAATTATCAGCAGAGTAATAAGCGCTATTTTTCTCCGTTCAAGATGTTCGTCAGAAAACGTGAACGAAAGACATGCTGCAAAGCGTATCCACGCAATAACACGGAGGTAACCGTTGTTACGCAATATTTCGTAAATAATACGGTTATATTCCATCACGATTACCCAATCGAACGTACAACAAATTACCATAAGTCATTAATCATTTCACTGCTTCATCCAGAAAGGGGATAGGAATCCGTTCTTGAATAAATCATAAGCAAAATTCGAGACATTGCTTCTCAGATGCTAATTCTTATACATCTGTAAGTTGTACTTGTTACAATTTTTGCACATTTTTACAGTGGTGTGTATGAATCTCCTGCCGAGAGATGTAGACACCGAGGAGAGGAGGCGAACGAGAAACAGGGCAAAGCGGAAACTGTAGGAACAATATGCTAGAAACGTCCAGCCAGCCAGCCAGCCAGCCTCTCCAATCCCCTTTTCTAGCTCTTCCGTCATCCGCCACTCTTAGCTCAAGTATTTCGACCAGAGGAGAGGATTCTTACCACGGGAATATTCCTTTGTTCCTACTTCACAGGTTCTTGGGCGATAAAGAACACAGGCTGGAGAGGCATGACATCTCATCTCGAGAGCTCCACTTCAACCACCTCCTCCTGTTCTCGCTCGGCCTTTCTCTATTTCTCTTCTCTTCGACTTCCAGCCCTATTCTCGTCTATTCGCGTGTCGTCTGACGCCCGTATCATCTGTCTCTTTCCAATGGCCACTTCGTACGCTCGCATTTGTTGAAGTTTTAATTACGAATAACTAACTCTTAATGCAAATCTCCGTTCCTTTTATTGTCTTGTTACATTTTTTAAGCTTACACTTAATCCGGAGATTCGAGAAAAACGTGTTTATTCACTTGTTAAGAAATTCGAATTTTGTGAAACGTGAACAAATAAAATGTTAAATATAGAAATATAGATCTGTCGTTAAAAAGTTGGAAGCTGTGTATATGTATATGACACACTTAAAAAGAGGCTGAAGATGAAAGGCTGAAAGGAGAGAGATATTCGTCCACGGTGGGCAAACAAACATTGCCGAAAGGACAAGTTTTTCGTGCAATCGTGTCCTTGAGGATCGATGGCCACTTCACGGGAACATCGGACCCATCGTGGCTACTGGCTACCGGTTCAAGGACAGTCACGGTTTCCATGGATTAAATCAATCGTCCCGTAGCTCGGAGGAGAATTTTTCTATCAATCCGGTTGCACCGCATCGCGTCGCGACGGTTAAAACTTTAATTGAGCACGATCCCGATACTATAGTAAATGTTGTATGTCCAAGGAATTTCGCGACGCTCCGTGTAACGCTGTACCGGATATCAGCTAGGATCTTTGAGAGTGTAAGTACGCGGCTTGTTTAACCGACGATTTGAATATGAAATTAGAGCGTGACCTGGTTCGAATTAATTCCCGCTCGACGCACCCTTTCGCCAGTTTCTTCAGTACACGTTGTTTTATCTGTCCTAGTAAAGAATGACTTCGTGCAGTACGAATTGTAAAATCATGAATTATTATAATAAGAGTAAATGTACTGTGTAATAAAATGGTCCAATGAAAATCTATACATTTCTAATGTTAATGATCACGATTTTTAGTGTTAATTTATACGAAACCTAAATAATGTTTCTAAAGATTGCATATGCTTTATCTATTGGAAGTATTTGAAGAAAAGAAGGAAGAATGATTACAGTCTTTTCAAAATCTGCCAGCATGTTCTAAACATTACTAATTATGATTACGTTACAATTTTTCTGTTATTTAAGATAAAACGAATTTATGATATCAACAGGAATGCGAGGCATGTAGCGAATAGTTAAAATGTATTCATGTACATTGCAAGGGAAGTGACGCAATAAATATTTTCGACAGCATATCATCAAGTTCAGTGATCGCGAAATGATTTCTTCGAACTCGACTCGAATAATGCCAGCACGTCCTGACGCGAACGCGATAGAGAAAGGTTGGTGCGTCGTTTAACCCACGATTTACGGATGGTGGCATTTTATTGTCATCGGCCGTTTGAATACGATTTCTTGCACGAGAAAGTTGGCGATTTTCCCTCGGTGCACCGCCGCGCCGCATGAAGGAAAGTTAAATCGACCGAGCCTGTACGAAGCAGCCTCTCTCGCTACCAGTTCAGTGCCTTAGGACTATACAAGTCTGATCGTACCCTGTCCCGTCTCGTGTTTTTTGACACACGATCCGCGCGCATGGATTATAATGAGTGCCTCTAACGGCAAACAATATTGGAACACCAATCCTTCGCGTATCTCAAATCGCTCGCCATCTTACAGAACGCTCTTATTAATTTCATGATCATTGTTGGATACCGCGTTAATTTTTAATTATTTTCGTATATCTCACGTTCAGTTTTAGAGTAGTAACGCTGAATCATGTAAGATAAGACCGTGTTACGATTGTACATATTAGCCATAGATTTGATCTTGTCCTCTCTCCAAACCATGGTTTTATCCCTTTAGTCATCCTTGCCCATCCTTTTCTTTTCTTCCTTTCCCGCTTTTCTCGAATTTTGAATCAGAATCAGAATACCGTCTTCCAAGTACTGTAAACTTCTATCGGAATAGAAATAAAGATACATCATACTTACTATTTCAATATTTAATATGGTACATTGAAATAAAATCGAAAGAAACTCGCGAAATTCAATAAGATTTTCAGTTAGTTCTTCAATAACCGATATTGAAGTCTCGAAGTTCACAGCTGATGGCTGATGATGACGATCAAGGTTAGGAGGATGGAAGACGTACGTCCCTCTCTTTCTGGTTCGCTTCACATTGCACAGGGAAACTCTGCCCAAACTAAGCGAGCGGGCGGGCGGGCGTTGTGCAGCTGGCGTGCAATTTGGGTGGCCGAATACGCTCGAGAAACTTTTAATCATGTCCAACACTTCGTTCCCAAAGACGTTAACTGTCCATAAGTCTTCAATAATCTATGTTTAATCTTTTATAACTACTTAAATCCAATAGTTTATACGATAATTTTCTTGTATATTTCATCTGTTCATCGTGTCCCAATAATTATTCTTCCATAAATATAATAATTGATTATGTATTATTTATATTTAAAAAATTACTCAGTTTTGAAATGAATACGAATATTAATGGAAGTGACTGTATGTATGTAGTGACCACACATGTAGTTCTGATAATTATAACTATCACTCTAGATTTATCATAATAAATGTAATCGCACCTTTATCCTTTTACTTTTATTCTCAGAACATTTCGAAACCCTAAAGAAACTTCCGGCTGATACAGTATATCTGCACCAATCTCATATTTCAAAACTTTGCAGAACTTCCCAGCTTCGGTTACTCTTATCCTCTAATGTTCAATTTTTAGAAGACTAAGCGTCACGATTTTTGGTCTTCATCAATACTTCTAAACTTTAAAGCAAAATGCGTTTCACGAATAGATTTCCTGGATTTTCCGACCGAGAGAAGACGATAGAGAGATAACTCATTTCGTTTAAGATTATATTAAATATTTTCATCGAGTAAACAATGAGACCTTCTCTTCATCAGATTCTATGCTAATTTAATCTCGGGGAATATGAAATGGAAAAATAGAGAACCTCATTCTCCTAATTTATCTCGGCCCAAGTTAATTAGCGACGGATTATAAAAGTTACTGAGAATGGTGGAAGTCGAATATTAAATTTGCCGAAAATGCACGTAACAACACTGTTTCCCTTCTTATCCAATATCTGTTGAATAAGATATAATATTAACAAACTTATATTCTGCAAATAGAAACGTTAGAAAAAATTCAGTTTTATCAAATTGCTTCTGTTCGTTGAATTATCTCGCAATATGTCTGGAAGATTTACGCCAGCTGACTCTGCTACAACTTTCGCAAGACGTGAGCTGGAACACGGTTTATCGTCGTTAATTGAGTTTAATTAGCATTATGAACCTTAACGAAATCGATAAAAGAAAAAAGAGAAGAGTCATGATCGATGCGAGCCAACCGTGGTTTTACGTGGCCGTAGAAAATGCGATTTAATTACCAGTTTGAGAAGGGCGACCTATATAAATCAGGGTCTCTCTCGGAATCGCGTGTCGTAATAACTACCGCGGTAGTAACACTTATCGTAATAAGTATCGTAATAACTTCGCGATAACTATCAACGGGTCGACGCAATAAATATTTTTGATAATCATGAACAGAAGTACAAAGAGAGTGGCGTATCCTGTTTGCACTCCCAAAAATATGGCCATCGTATATATGTGTTTAATTAATAGAATTTAATAGTAATTAATTGGTACGATATATTTTATTGACCGACGCATTGTGCAGATTGGAAATCGACTTTTACAAATGTGTACTTGTTTCCAAGTTAGGGATGATGTTGCAGTAGACTACTCCCAAACCATCCTTTAAATTGAATCATCAAAGCCAATAAAGGTGTTTGAACAGTACTTACAAGTTAAATTGAACATCTCATACGGTACATCAAAACAAGCATTTGCCCCAACTTCTGTAGTGTCCTATGGCAGTTGGGACAGTTACTTTAAATAAATACAGATCCGACCAGAACAATATGAGACAATTTGAATATGTACACAAAATTTTAGTACAACTATACTAACCCATGTATGATGATGATATGATTCTACATAGATAGGTGTGCGAGGGAGAATGATATCAAGGTAGTAAAAGACAATACACATATACCTATGTATATTCTCGTTTATACCACAGAGCATTAAACTGATAAAGGACTGATGGTGCGAATCACTGGGACACAGAGAAATGCTCTAATGTGCTAAAATCAACGTTATATCTCGCCTCAATTAACTGGCAACGATCTCGCTTATCACCCACGAAATCGACTTTAAATCTTTCTGGAAAACAAACCTCATGTCACTATGCAAACTATTACACACATATACGTCTGTATTAATAAACAAGAATCATGTACTTTCACTGAGATATGATTGAATCGGAGGATCAACCGAACGGGCATGAGAGGAGGTGGAAGAGGAAGTTAGTACCTTATGAATATCGAAATGAGTGAAACCCGTTCGTTTTGATCGTTTCATTTCCAATCCCTGGCCCAATTCTCAGGGACAATGCACGCGTAGATACAGACTGAGCGGATCATGTCGCACCACCCTGCGGTTCGACATTATTCATTTACATGAGTTCTGCTTGCACGACGGTTCGAGAGAGGATCAGTGAGACCGAAAAAAAGATACGCAGGATGAAGGTTTTGTTCTCGGTACCACCGACCGATTCCGTTGACAGCATTCCAGGATCGTGATCGAGGGGCGGTTTGTAATACAATTTCTGAAGTGTAACTCGGTTGTTCCAGTTTCTCCATTCGAAACGAGATTCGATCTCTGAATTACATCGTTATTATTTCCTAACAGAATTAATGACGCTTTAGAGCCGAGGTTCGGGAACTGAGATTTCAGAGAGTGATAACATTCTTTAAGGGATTTTGTACTGTTCTTGTATTGTGCAATAATTTACTTCACAATCTTTGATAACTGGAAACTCGTAGCTTTTTAGAGTGGAATATTCTAGACGATATCTGTATCAAAATTTAACTGGTAATGTTTACAATCCATTTGCTTATCTACAATCAACATGTCATTATTTGAGAGGGAATATCTAAAAGCATTCCAAATCAAGAATCACGTAATATTAATCAGAATTTTGTAATATCGATACATCTGATGATTTTGGATAAGAACGATATGAATTTTTCGCGATAAACATTAAAATAGCCGTCTACATTTATTCGGAGACACTGTTCATTTTTACGATAACAATAAAACAATCATGCGAACAAAACAATAATGCTCAGTCACGTTTAACGACATAACGTTATCAGCTTACTCAGGCTTTTCGAAATTGTAAAACAAATTATTTTCTACAGTCAATTCGCGATAAGCGTTTTATTTGTAAGATTACCAATTGTAAGCAAATCGTTTTGAATAACGAGACGATACAATACATATCGAGATACAAATACTGCATTCAATTTTTTGATTGCGATGTTGGATTCAAGATTCAAACACGATGTTTTAAAACCTTAACGAAGAATGTGATTTGTACAAGAGTAAAACTGACTGGCAAAGGACTTGGCAGGGATTCGTTGAGCGATAAGCTTTAGCAAAAAGTGTGGTTTTAAGTTTACAAGGATTTTACTAATGTTTGTAGTGGAAGGGGAGTCGTAATTGTAACCACTGCATTTGGATTTGAAAGGAAATATTGATTCACCTATTTGGAACAAAGCCGCAGGCATCGCAGTGCGAGTCATAGTCAATAGCTTAATTATTAATTGATCATTCAAATCAATAATTATGTAGGCTGGTCATTCAATAGCGACTATGCTGAAAATTTCCGTTTTATTTGTTTCAAATCTGATAAAGAGTATAATGTCGATATTAATAATGCAATCATTAAAAGCGTAATATTAATCATGCAAAATCTGAAGTCGGTAGAATGAAAATAATTAACACCGCAGGATGTTACTCATGGTTAAACTGTTATCGATGTTATCTAGTT